GTAGGGACAAAAGGTTTTATGATGCCTAGAACTTCACAGAACGAAGTTCTGTGAAGTTCAAAGGTTTTGACAAAAACCTTCCTTGTATTCAGGAAGTAGAAAATTCCTATCTGAAATGGGAGGCAAGGTCATCTGCTGTGAGAGCAGGGGAGACCAGTGATACAAGTTTGAGGAGCATGATGACCTTCTAAATTAACCACGAGGAAAACAGGGAGAGAATGAATATATAAAAGGACAATTGCATAGGGTTTCTGCTGATTCAGTTGAATCAAAGATAAGTTTACAGGGGTGCAATCAATAGAAGTGTGTGATTTTCTCAAACAGTACCCAGATCAGCTGTGGAAATGGAGAATGCAGATCTGGAAGATACCAAGACCACAAAGCCTCTGCTGTGGACAGTGTGAAGAACATGTAGGCTCCGCTTGTGAGGGCTGCATTAGTGCAGAGGCCTAGTGCTAAAGGCCCTGTCTTTAGCAACAAAAGGAGGTGTGGGAGTTATATAAAGAGGCTAATAGGGACTTCCCTGGTGGTGCAGTGGCTAAGAATCTGCCTGCCGATGCAGGGGACACAGGTTCGAGCCCTGGTCCGGGAAGTACCCACATGCCGCAGAGCAACTAAGCCCGTGTGCCACAACTACTGAGCCTATGCTCTATAGCCTGAGAGCCACAACTACTGAGCCCACGTGCCACAACTACTGAAGTCTGTGTGCCTAGAGCCCGTGCTCTGCAACGAGAAGCCACCGCAATGAAAAGCCCGCCTGTCACCATGAAGAGGGGCCCCTGCTCGCCACAACTAGAGAAAACCTGCGAGCAGCAAATGAAGACCCAACGTAGCCAAAAATAAATTAAAAAAAAAAAAAAAGAGGCTAATAGAGATGACTCACCTAATATGAAGTTTCGTAACCATGAAAAGGCAGTGTCAGTACATGTGATACTACCAAGGTAAGGTACCTGTGTGTGACCTTTGGCAGTAACAACCTGAGCCTATTTACTTAGCTATAAAATAGGGACAATTCTTGTTCCACATACCTTATGAGTTAGTGAGGATGAAATGAAATGTGAATATACATTTTAACTATAAAGCAATTTAGTGATGGGACTAGAATTTGGGTAAAATGCCATGCTGATTTGGATTACTAACAGACAGTTACAGCTATATGTGTATAAAGGTTTTATGATGCCTATGTATTTTATTCCATGAGTATGTGAAATTAATATAAATGAGGGAGGTAGAAAAAATAAGAGCAGTCTAGGGTGTCAAATGTCCTAGAGTCATCAGAGCCATTTGAGAATAGAAAAGAAAGCTAGACACGACAATTAGGTAACTAACCTAATTTTCCACTATGTGAATTTTCCACTTTCAAGGAATTTGATGAGGATATAAAATAAACAAATTATTTCAGTGCTTACCAGTTAAGAGCTTTCAGATGCCACTCAGTGAACGCTCAACAGCAATTTTATGAGGTACAGGTTATTCCTATTCTCCAGATGGCAGAAAAAAAGTAACTGCAAAGCTCTAAACCAGGGGCCGAGAACTTCTGTGAGCACCAGTCACTATTTTAGGCTTTGTGGGCCATAGTCTGTTGCAGCTACTCAATTCTGATGTTGTAGCACAAAAGCAGCCCTAGATAAGACATAAATGAATAAATGTGGCCATGTTCCAATAAAGTTTTATTTACAAAAACTTTGGGACAATGGGCTGCTTACTGACCCCTACTCTAAACACATATTTTCCAATCCCAAACCCAGCATTCTTTGTTACACCACAAATAAAATTAACTAGTCCAATGGTCGTTTTTCAAAGGACACTTCCAGCTATAGACACATATTTAATGGCACCAATGTGAACACAGGCACATTTCTAATGAATAAAGAAAGAGCAACGGCTTCCCTGGTGGCGCAGTGGTTGGGAGTCCGCCTGCCGATGCAGGGGACACGGGTTCGTGCCCCAGTCCGGAAGGATCCCACATGCCGCGGAGCGCCTGGGCCCGTGAGCCATGGCCGCTGAGCCTGCGCGTCCAGAGCCTGTGCTCCGCAACAGGAGAGGCCACAGCAGTGAGAGGCCCGCGTGCAGCAAAAAAAAAAAAAAAAAAAAAAGAAAGAGCAAAAAGGAAGCAGCCCATTAGTATGTCCGGTAAAATGGGGTTAGACTAAGACCAAACTGTGGTCGAAGTATCTTGGTGGTGGTTTCAGCTATGTCACTCAGCTAGTTTTTTCCAGTGTAAATAATGTGGTTTTTTTTTTTACTTCTTTAATCTTTCTTAGTATACAGTTTTTTAACATCTTTATTGAAGTAGAATTGCTTTACAATGGTGTGTTAGTTTCTGCTTTATAATAAAGTGAATCAGCTATACGTATACATATATCCCCATATCCCCTCCCTCTTGCGTCTCCCTCCCACCCTCCCTATCCCACCCCTCTAGGTGGTCACAAAGCACCAAGCTGGTCTCCCTGTGCTATGCGGCTACTTCCCATTAGCTATCTATTTTACAGTGTAGACAATCTTTATTGGCAGGTGTTGAGTGCAAGAAAGATGGTAACAAATCCAGAAGGATGGAAAAGGAGGCAGGGCATGCTCCCCTCCCCTAAGTGAGGACTTTGTGACCAGGTCACTGGAGCAAGAGCACCTGACTATGGTCACTTTGGGTCCAGAACCCCTCAAGTAAGCTCCCAGGCAGGAGGGCTCCTCACATGTGGGAAGGGAGCAACACTCTGGAAAGGGTATGGGCTATGTCCCACCCCAGGCTACTTGCCTCCTGCCCACAACATACCTCAGCCCCTCAAGAGGAAGGTGTCACAGCTCACTGTAGGGGTGTTTCAGGACTGAGTTACTAATAGGTGTTACTAACCCTATTCCTCTCCAAACCCAGGTATCTGCCATATGCCTCAGTTCCCTTGCTCTGTGATTTGCTAGGTTGGACTACAAGGTCCTGTTAGTGGTCCAGCTCAATTGAGTAGTTCCCATAGTTCCCTGAGCCTAAAAAAGGTTAATTTCACCTCTCATCTGTATAATAGTGCAGCTGGATTCTAAGAATCTCTAAGATCTCTTCCAGTTCCAATACTGAGACCTCTAATGTGACTAAAATAGCCAACTTTAGTTCATATAGGTATCAGCCTTGCCTGTATGAACTGTACCATAATAGCCCCTCTTATTCTGTGCTCAGCAATCTTACTTGGTATCTCAAGGTACTCTAATATGAAGAGCCAAAAGACCTCATCACTAGAAATGAAGCTAAGTTGTAGCTAAGTTGGTTTTGGTTTACTCTTGTGTGACCTTGACTGAAATGAAATAGCTTTAGCCTAGTCAACTGGGGAGGGCGAGCGACTGGTAAGGTCTCTTCATAGACAGCATGTGAATTTCATCACACCCTTTTCAATTTACAACAATCTTTAGGGGTTAAAGCGAAAATGTACAATATAATGTCTATAAAGAAACTGAAGAGGGACTTCCCTGGTGGTGCAATGGTTAAGAATCCGCCTGCCAATGCAGGGAACACGGGTTTGAGCCCTGGTCCGAGAAGATCCCACATGCCACGGAGCAACTAAGCCTGTGTGCCACAACTACTGAGCCTGAGCTCTAGAGCCTATGAGCCACAACTACTGAAGCCCGTGCTCCGCAACAAGAGAACCCACCGCAATGAGAAGCCCGTTCACCGCAATGAAGAGTAGCCCCCGCTCACCACAACTAGAGAAAGCCCGTGCACAGCAACGAAAACCCAGAGCAGCCAAAAATAAATTAAAAAAAAAATAAAAAAAGAAACAAGAAAAGTTTGAGGAAAAGGATGACAAAAAGGTGCATCCCTACATACCATGAGAATAACACCTAACTAAAATAAATTGCCAACTTATGAATGGAATATGTAGAATGTATGGTAAAATTATAAAGGTGAGCATATCAGATTTAGAGACAGGAATTGGAATCAGTGTTCAAGGGCACTTAGTGTAAGAATCCTAGATTAGGAAAACAAAGAGTTCAGAGGAAGCACTTTTGTTATAGACCACGCATGGTTCTAGTTCTAGACCTGTGCTGTTAACACTCTCGCCATATGTGGCTACGTAAACCTAAACTCATTAAAGCTGAATAAAATGGAAAATTCAGTTCTGTAGCCACACTACCCAAATTCCATAACTACACCTGGTTGGTGGCTAACTGGACAGCACATATTCAGTCTGTCATCACAGAAAGTTGTATTGGATAGTGCTATTCTAGACAAAATCCAGAATATAGGGGGCACCTGGAAGAAACACTTCTTAAATACACCTGGCTCTCACTTTTGATACTACTCACCAAGCCACCTATGAAGAGACAACAGGAATGAAGACATGTGGGTTATACAGTGCTAGCTTTTTGGGTTTCTTTATTTCTAAGAGAGCACACACCCCTTACAGCTAGGAATGTCCCTTCTTTTGAATTAACTATAGGAACTTATAAATCACTAGAGGCACTTATTGAGTACAACTGGCCTAGAAAGCAGCAGGGACTCAGCAATTCTCCGCCAGCATAGGCCTTAGTTGACTTGGGAAACACAGAAATAAATCAGTTCCCTGGTCTCCACGTCTTCCCATATTAGTCCAGAACTCTCTCAGAAGCTAATTGCTACACCATCTCTGGATACCACCTGAATTACAGCAGGCTTTCTTTTGCTTCCCCAAACTGTTTCTGCACATGTTTCCAGACTGACTGCTTTCTCACATTTCTCCAATGACTGAAAATAAGATTCACAAGTTACAAAGTGCTTTGCCAGGCCTTACAGGCCTACCTACTCATCCCCATCACTGTTGATAAGGCTTCTTCCTGGTTTCCTCACTGTCACACAAAGAGATGGCTCTCACCACCAGCACAGACTTACTTCCCCCACCGAGAATTTCTCTCAGTATTCTTTATGGCTTAGTCCAAGCTCACCATTCCATAAAATTTCTAGGGACTACTCTAAACATGTACAGCACAAACTATATATGAAATAATTTAGTACATATACTACAACCATGTACTATACATACCACAAAACTATGGCCAGAAACACATTCTTCTTTCTACCTTTGGCATAAATGCTGCAGTGCTCATTCTGGCCAAAGAAACCGGGTGGATTACTGAAGTGTTCTAGGGCAGGCTGTCCTAGAAGACCAAGTAAACACAATCTAGTACTATGACTAGTAACAATGCTGCGTATTTTGAGGTATTATATTTTTCAACCATCTTGGTATGTCATTAAATCAAGCACATTAGAAAAATCATGATCTGTGACTTTGTTTTTAATTCTCAAGCCTTATGATCAGATAATTTACAAATCTGTGCTAATGATAGAGCTCCTCTACCTTAACCCTTCTGAGTTGGCAAAAGCATCATTACCAATCACACACCTACAGTAGTTCTACAGTTTTGTTTCTGAATACCTGTTTAAAAGACAATCCTGAATTATAACTTAGTCTGACTTTGTAAAGAATTCACAAGCAAGTTTCCCAACCTATCATGTCACAATGAATTTTAAAAACATCTGATCTTAAAGATCATCTCTAAAATGTGAGAAGTACTAAATATTCTTTATCTGATGCTATACATAAACCACACTAAAATGCCCTTCATTAAGTAAAACGCAATATTTTAGATGGAGAATTTTAATTAAATTGGCATATTTAAGACCAAAAAGATAAAGTGGACATTGTCAGTGTATCTTCAGCCCTTGCCTTAACAAGTGAATGAACACAACTTGAAACACAAGGTGAATCTTGCTGGTCTATGAGACAGTGAAGGGAGCTTCTCAATATTTAAATATATTAATATAACCAGTTATAGAAATCTAAATATAAAACCAATCTCCTATAGGGTTTGAGAAGGCATTCACCATATCCCTGAAAAGTTTAACATTCCTTATTCAAGTTTAATCATCTCTTTAGAAGGGGAAAACACTGACAGTACTTGCTGAACCAGAATTACTATCAAAATTCAAAAAGCTGACCATATTCATTTAGCCACAAGCCAATCTTATTTAAATCAGGACAGAAATATTACATCAGCTATTCATGACCTGAATTCTAGTGTATGAGATCAATTTAAATATGGTACACATAAAAAGTCATGAGACAGCTGTTTCATAATAAATAAGGCAGTGGCCAACTATTACTCATTAGTAGCTTTTTTGAGATAAGCTATCAAGTCTGCCCTTTCTGACTTCTTCTTAATGCCAGCGAAGATCATTTTTGTTCCAGGGATGTACTTCTTGGGATTCTCCAAATACTCCATCAGCGTCTCCTCTCCCCAGGTGATGCCTAAACAAGGAGGGATGTATTGTTAAGTATGTCACACTCCTGAAAAAGTGTTTACCAAAGGTTACATTCATGCAATTTGTGCTTGTGTTAGTTAACAATGGCCCGCCTCTTACCTTTGTTCTTGTTGGCATCTGTGTAAGAGAATCCGACAGCCTGACCTGTCTTTCGCCCAAACAGACCATGGAGATTTGGCCCAGTCTTGTGCTTGCCTCCCTTTTCCACAGTATGGCACTGGGCACACTTCTGAACAAAAATCTTCTTGCCCTTCTCAACATCACACATTTTTAAATCTAAAAATGAAAGACTCAATTAATTTGTTCTCCAAGTAAAAAAAGTGTAAACCAACGATCAACTCCAGCCACTAACGCACTGCAAACTTATGACATTATATACCAGGTTGAATTTTGTTTTACTTAGTTCACTTGCAAAAGATTCTTTAACACAAAAAACACTATCTCGAAGAACTTCCTTAAAAACACGTCTCTGTGTGTGTGTCAACTAAAAATTGACACTTGACATCTGCCTCTACAAGCGTTAAGGCACAAGCCACTGCAGCTGCTGACCTTCAACACATCCTGAAAAGTTCAGGGTAGAGATCAGGAATGAGGCACTCTGTGGTCTGGGAAAAACTGGCAAAAGAGGCCTTTAGATAAATAACCTCTGGTTGGGGAACCAAGATCCCACAAGCGCATGCTGGGGCCGAGAAAAAAAAAAAAGAAATGCTGTCTCCCAGTCTCTAGTCCCCATTTTGCCCCAAACAGAACTTACAGCTCTTACTTTGTGCATTTTTTTCCAGTTGACATACGTGATGAAAGCAAATTAGGAACCTACTTCAAAACCATTTCAAAAGATGACATCAAGGTCACAAAGTCACAAATCTGAATAAGCTGAACTATGAACATATTAAACCCAAACCACCAAAATTCCAACTTTTACGGCGGTCTAATTATTCATACTACAATTTAAAGCCACCTCTGAAGATAAGGCAAAATACATTTTTACAAAAGGGGAGATAATGGTTGATTCAGCCTGCTCAGGTCCCTCTAAATTGCCTTGCTGTGGGTGGGAGGCCAGCAGCAGGCTTTTGAGGTCTCCCCGGTAATGCCCATTCTCCAGCTCTGGGATCCCCGGGGGAGACCACGAGGTCATCAATCCAAGCCGGTTTCAAGGACACTGTGATGAAACCTACCTCTCCGGGGTGCCTGAGCAGGTTGGGGGGGGAGCGACAGGTGGCCAGGAAAAGTAATGACTTATTGGAAGAGCAGCAGCTTTTGCTCTCTTGGAAAGAGGACGTGACGCGCTGCGCATCGTCCCCCGACTCCCGCCCTCACTCCAGAGGAAATCTCGTCTATCATTGCCATAGCCCCGCAGTCCCGACAACGGAGGGCCCGCGCCTCGGAAGGAACCGCGAACAAGCCGCCTCCGAGCTTTCAGGACCTTGACCGAGACCACGCCACGACCTAATTAGGGTCCCGCCCCACCTCACGCCGTAGCCCGCCGGGCTGGGCGCAGTCCGGGGCCCCCCATTCCCTGTCCCCCACCCGGCCCCCGCTCACGGGCCTCAGTCCACCCGCGCACCCCCCACGCAGGCGCGCGCCCTCATGGCTCGGTTTCTCGCCCGCCGTGGCCTCCGCGCCCCGCGCCCACCGTTCTTTCTCCGTGTACGACTAAGCCGTTCCCGCTCGCAAGCCAAACGTCCAGCTCTCTAATCCCAAGGACACGCCGGTCCGCGCCTATGTACGGGTGAAAATGCAACCAAACTGGCTCCGCCCTCTGCCCTCCTGACGTGCGGCCCGGCGAACTGATACGTAGTGACGTCGCCGCGCCCCATTGGCTCGGGTCTCCGGGGCTGAGTTAGGACCCTGCGCGCGCGCATACCTGCTAGTACTGTGAGGGGAACAGCGTGAATGCCCTTCCTCTCCCGGCCTTTCCCTCCGGGCAGTTACGACAGGCCATTAGAGGTACGACACCGAGGTTGTGCCGGGAGGGGCTGACGTCAACCTCGGGCCTTAGGGTGCATGCGCGTGCCGACGGGGAGGGTGGAGCGGAGTCGAGGGGTGGATCGAGGGCATTAGCCTGTAAGGTAACAGGTCTCCTGCTGGTTGACTTAATGCTGTTTGAGCCGCACGTTTTGCCTTTTTAGAGGGAGACGGTCAACCTTGACAAACGTAGAGGTCTCCTGGCTATCATCCCTTCACCTGGCGACCTTTACCCAGACTCGGTCGTATTTCCGCGGCTGGCGCCAGATGCACCCCAGAGAAATAACCCGGAACCAGGAGTTAAAGAGTTGGACACGAGCTCCTGACCTTGTTCTGGTTTTGCTTCCACCCTGTGACTTTAAGTCATCTTCTTCCAAATCTCCCCTTGGTGGAGCCCAGAAGACAGGGGCAGGTGCGGCAGTTGAGGCAGAGACTGGATTTTAGCTCTGGTCCTTCAGCTGCCGGCTTCTTTTCTGCCAACACCTGCTTCTCGCGTTTGTGTGCAGAAAGAGGGAGGAGTGTGTGCGAACAGCCTCCAGGAAGAAAAATTTTTACGTGGTTAGAGAATTCTTGGAAATCTAGAGAGAATTTGCATCCCAGCTAACCTAGGCGAAGGTCATGTTCAAGTAAGCTAATGTGGTTGGCCTTTAGATAAATAACCCCTTATTGGGTAACTAATATTAGAAATTCTAATTCTAATATTAGAAATGCAGTTTTGATCACTACAACTTCCAGTAATCATACTTTTCCTCCAGAACTAGCTCCCCTTCGTGACATGCTCCGTTTTGTCAGTGGGAAATTTCTCGACTCCCTTCTCCCTCAAATTAAGCCCCCGAGTTCGAATGCATTTTTCCTCCTTTCCCATATTCTGTCTAACGCTGCCGTATTCATTCAGTCAAGTGTATATTGAATGCATATTATGTGCCAGGCACTGTCTAGAAACGTGGAGTAAATCAGTAGGGACTTCTTCTCTGGTGGAGCTAACATTCTACCATCTTCCTCTCGCCTCCAGATTAAGCAATAGATACCAGGAGGTTAACCTAGATTGCCTCAGATCCCTCTTAAACCACAGTTCCTAAAATTTTTGCTCCAGACCACTTATTTCCCCATATGACTAGATTATTTTTATTGTTTTCTAACTGTGTCCCGATTTCCCATTTCCCTCTCTCTAATCTCACACACTGCTGCCACAGAAGTGTGCTATAAAACAGAACAGAAATCACAACTTGAATATTCAAGACATTTTGTGCCTTTTGGAGGGGACCAAGGTAGTGTTTAAGTGTACTACTGAAGTAGGCTCATTTGGCTAGGTACCCAAGTTTTTGAAAGACCAAGCTTAGCAACACTTTGCAAATTCAGCCTATACTTCTGAAGCCAAGTCCTGATATTGCCGCCCATATCCCTTAAAGGAATACTTGGTCCTTAAATAGGTAATTGTCCTATTAAAATCTTCTGTGTTTGTGGTAGCAGAAGTTACTAGTCTTTGTTCAATGGACTGATGGGGAGTAACAGCATAGTGCTGGTGCTGCAGGTCATGTAGAAGTAGCAATAAATCAACTGGCCTAGTGAATTGATTGACATTTCAAGTTTATTCCTATGAGGGGGAGAATAGAAAACCAGAAGTTCTGAATACTTTTAACTAAGGAAATTGTGGATTAAGGGTCTTGTTATTGAAAGTATTGGGAAAATGAGGAGAAAGAGAACAAGAGCAAAAATGAACACTTGGCACATTCCTGTAGTAAAGCAGATAGCATAAAATTTGTGCTTCATATCATGTATTCACGTTCTAAAGAGATTCATAGTGCTTACAGTATATTCAAGATACCTGAGAGAATTAGTTGAGGAGAACAGTAATATTCTGCAAGTTGCTCTGTTTCATATTCACATATCTGTTCTCTCTACCTCCATCTTTTCCTAGAGTAGTGGCTGGTAAGAGGTATAACCATTATAAAACAAATGCCTTAGATTTCTCCTTCCAGCAACACAATGGGTGACATATTTTTAAAAACCTTCGTGATGAAAAAAATCGAGTAAAATACCACCCCCTCAAATCAAACTATAATGAGGTTGCAAGAAAGTGAGGGAATCTGGTTGGGGGCAGGGGTGAGGCAGGGAATAAGAACTGAAAACTGTGATAAGCATAAGCTGATTTCTAGAGCCACCTTATGGACGTTTGCTGAAGTGAAAGAGCCTTAGGTTTTAAGAACAGCTCTGTGGAATAGAAGTAAAGCTTATACAAGGGAGGAGTGGGGGAGAGGGGAGGGGAAGGTTGGCTGAGACCGCTGCATAACACTAGAACACTTGAATCTAAAGGATAAAATATAGTCTGCTTACTGGCAAAGGGAAGAACCAAGTTAGTCTTGTCTGGCTTGGCCTTAGGTACTGGGTGGGAGGAAAAAGTATCCCCTGATAATTCATAACCACAGGTCTGCCCTCATGCAGGTTTAGGGTTTGATTTTATTTTACCTGCATGGTCTAAGGAACCTCTAGCAGAAAAATGAGCAAAGTAGTTGTGTATGGGCAGTGTATTTTGGTGTCTGGCAAAAACAAACTCAAATTTCCAGAGGAATGTCTCAACCCAGGCCCCTTGAATTCCCACACTCTTAAGAAATGCCAAGCATGAGATGATGATGAGAAACAACAAAGAGAAAAATTACAGTCCATAGGTGTTGGAATTATTAGATATCGTTGGAGAAGTAAAAACCTTATCAACAAAGAGAGACCTCTTCACATCACTGTGGAAAGAAAGCAAACACATTTATTGTTGAATAAGCACATTATAAAATAGCTGTATATAGGTAATCCACAAGGAACTACCAAATCAGAATAAGACCTCACACAATTTATACAGCTAAGCTAATTATAATCCTTTTCTCTCACACTATTTTTAGCTAGCATATAACATGAGGCTTTGGGATCAGTAGTACCCTATTTTCCATTTGGCAGCACGACTATCACTTATTATTTGGATTAATAGTAACTTGTTTTCCATAGGAGGATTTGACATCACAGTTTGTGGCCAGATCTTTCTTAGTTAAGTTTTTATTTTTTCACATTCCTTCACCCTAAGTTCACTTGGGATTTGTGGTAGCCATTTGTTTAATTAGTTTTCCTCATTCAAAAGAAAAATAAAACTTTTATTTTCCTGAGAAACAAATGGTTACACCTACATTAAGCTCCCAAGGTGAAGCTGTATCTTCCTAGGTGTTTACATTTCAAAACAGTTGAAGCACAGGCCTTCAGAGAGACTTATTTACATTCCAAAATGTTAGAGTGAGAATTTAGGCTCTTTAGATTTTCCTAGGAAACACTCTTAGAAGGAGGGAGAGAGCCGAAATGGTTTCTTTTTCCTTTATAAACAGAAAAAATAATTTTTATTTATCTTTACAACGTATAGTATGAAATGACATTGAAAACATTTAGATAAACAAAAACGTGCAACAAACAAGGGACTATCAAAAATAATGTGGCAGATTTTAAAAAGAGCCAAAGATAACTTGGATAAATGAAAGTTATAATCATTGAAATAAACTTAATATAGTATGATAAGCTTTATAGAAAATTCAAGGACAAGCAAATCTAAGCCATAGCTACAACTAAAGGAAATGATAAACACAAATACATACTGTAATTCTGAGAGGGGAGGCCAGGGAATGGAATGAGGAGGAGCATACAGGTAGATAGAGGTTTTTGATAATATTTGAGTGATTGGATTATAGATTAATTGGTTTTTAAAAAATATAAAATAAATATGGCCAGCCATCCCACATTAAAAACTCAAAAGAATGGGCCGCAAAGCACATTTTAAAAACAGTTTTAAAAAAAAGACACAAATGAAAGAATAATGAACTGGAAGGTAGATATAAAGAAATTACTAAAGGTAATATAGAAAAAAAATGGTAGACTATAGAAAAGAGAAATTAGAGAAGTTAAGACATAGGAAAGATAGAACAGGGAGGTCTATTTAGAGTTCCAGAACAATAAAATGGAGAAAATTGAGGAGAGGCCTATGTTTGACAATATAGTGTCTGAGAATTTTCCAAAACTTATGTAAGACATGAGTCTCAGATTCAGGAAGCACATGAATGCAAGCAGGATAAACAAAATCAACATTAAGACACATGTTGGTGGAACATCAGGACCCTCAAGACAAGAAGAAGTGTTTAAAATAATCAGGTAGAGACTTCCTTGGAGGTCCAGTGGTTAAGACTCTGTGCTTCCACTGCAGGGGGCACAGGTTTGATCCCTGGTCAGGGAATTAAGATCCCACATGCGGTGCGGCCAAAAAAAAAAAAAAAAAAAAATCAGATGTAAAATATTATCTACTTAAAAAATTGCAAATAGACGTAAACAGGTTTCTCAATAGCAACAATGAAAACCAGAAGTCAGTAGAGTAGCTGAACAGTAAAGTAAAACAGTAGAGTAAAAAATAGAAGTCCTTAACATCTCAACTGATTGAAAAAATAGGTGTAAAGCCAGAATTATGTATCTAGCTAAACTTTTATTCAAGAATGAAGGCAAAAAATATTTACAGAAAAGCAAAGTGAGAGTTTATCACCAACAGATTCTTACTAGAAAAACCTCTAAAGAATGTACTTCAAAAAAGGTAGAGAATTATCCGAAAGGAAGCCTGAAATTCAAGAAGGAAGGGTGAAAAAAGTAAATATGTGGATAAATCTAATGAAAACATTAACTGTATAAAAAAATGTCTAATTTGGAAAGTAAAAGCCAAAGTAGTTAAAATATTCACTATAAAATTTAAGATGGGAGAGTATGATCAGAGTT